GAGGGTGTTATGCTGAGTGAAATAAGTCAGTCAGAGAAAGACATGTATCATATGACCTCACTGATATGAGGAATTCTTAATCTCAGGAAACTGCATGTTGCTGGAGTGGTGGGGGGTGGGAGGGAGGGGGTGGCTGGATGATAGTGGGTAGGGTATGTGCTATGGTGAGCGCTGTGAATTGTGCAAGACTGTTGAACCATAGTTCTGTAGTTCTGAAACAAATGATGCAACATATGGTAAGAAAAAAGAAGACAGCAGGAAGGGAAGAATAAAGGGGAGTAAGTCGGAGGGGGAGATGAACTATGAGAGATGATGGACTCTGAAAAACAAACAGGGTTCTAACCTGGGGGGGATGGGTTAGCCTGGTGATGGGTATTAAAGAGGGCACATTCTGCGTGGGGCACTGGGTGTTATGCACAAACAATGAATCATGGAACACTACATCAAAAACTAATGATGTAATGTATGGTGATTAACATAACAATAAAAAATTTTAAAAAATTTAAAGAGATACTTTAAATTTTATTTAAGACATTTGAAGCATGAAGCAGTGTTTGAAATTCCTGCATAATACCTTACACTGCCTTTGTGTCAACATTTTTCAGTAGTCAGGATCTAAAATATATTTAGAATTTGGGGGGAAAAGTAATATCTAAAAACCTTAAACTGAGAAAAGCCAACTGAGTTAACAACACTAGCAGGGATACCAGTGTTGCCCATGTATTTTCACCGTGTCAGGAGAACCTCTTGTACCCCCAAAGTTACTGCTGCTGTATACAGGCAAGTCAGGCTTTCCCTTACAGGCAAGTCACGCTTTCCCTGAGCTCCAGCTTTGAATCACTCCATTTATGAATTGCTGCTCCTGTCATACTTGTTTAGATATTCTGGATGCTTTTCATAACCCATCTGTCATAATGTCTTTCTCTAACTCGGAAGAAGCTTAGACCTCACCTGGTCGTCTGGTTTTCAACTGAGCCCTAATTGTGTCTTTATACTATTCCTGCACCCTGTGTGAAATCTGAGTTGTTAGAAGATGAAAATCTGAAATTTCCTTAATCTGATATTCATACTCATCTGGGATAAGAGGTACAAAGCACAGAATTGGGAATGTTGTACTCTTTTTACTTTCTCAAAGCAACCCAATATTTTTTATGGTATGTAACGCTGACTGAAAGAAATGAGCTCTCCATTGACCACTTATCAGTCAAGGTTCTCCAGAGTAACACAACCAACAGGACATACATACATAAGGAGATTTATTTTAAGGAATTGGATCACTCAAGTGTGAGTGCACACAAGCTGAAATCTGTAGGGCAGGTTGGCAGGCTAGAAATTCAGCAGGAGTCGCACTAGAGTCTTAGGGCAGAACTTCTTCTCCAGGAAACTTGTTTTTGTTCATAAGGCCTTTATCTGTGCCTATGCTCTTTTCTTTACCTTTTTTACCTGTTTACTTATGTACATTTCTAGGTATTGTTTGTAACAGGATCCTAAGACCCTCCAGAGTAAGGACCAGATTTTATTTTACTATTGTTTCTCTTCAGTATCTAGCAGAATCAGTATTTATAGTGAGTTTTCTATGTGTTGGAGACTTTGTGCCAGGCAATGAGAATTACCTTGTTAATTCTTTTTTTTTTTTTTTTTTAAGATTTATTTGAGAGCGAGTGCATGAGAAGAGGGAGAGGGGAAGCAGACTCCCTGCTGAGCGCGGAGCCTGCCACCGCAATTGAGGGGCTTGATCTCCAGATCTGGACCCCGAGATCGTGACCCGAGCCTTGACATCATGATCTGAGCTGAAACCAAAAGCCAGATGCTTAACCGACTGAGCCACCCAGGCGCCCCATCTTGTTAATTCTTAAAGTAACCTGTGAGGTAGATGATATTTCATTTTGTAGATGAGGAGACTAGGTCTCTGACCCATCCGAGATCACAAAACTAGTTATGGGTAGAGTTAGGTTTGAATCTAATTTCTTTGACTCTGAAGATCATGCTTTAGTTCAAGAAAATTATTTAATTTCATTTATTCAATAAGTATTTATTGAACAGAAACTTCTTGGCATAACAGAACAAGTCTTAACATGTCTTCAGTCTTCACTTTTAGGGATGTTTTCATATTTCTTTCATATGCTTAAAGCAACGGACTGTTGCAAGAATTGAATAAAATCAGGGCACCTGGGTGGCTCAGTCGTTAAGCGTCTGCCTTCGGCTCGGGTCATAATCTCAGGGTCCTGGGATTGAGCCCCACATCGGGCTCCCTGCTCAGCGGGAAGCCTGCTTCTCCCTCTCCTACTCCCCCTGCTTGTGTTCCCTCTCTCTCTCTCTCTCTCTCTCTTTCTCTGTCAAATAAATAAATAAATCTTTAAAAAAATTGAATAAAATCAGTTTAAGGAAGAACAGACCATAGATTTAGGGGTTTTTTTATATTTTTTATCTGAGTATTGTTGACACATAGATTTGGTTTTTATACAGTTGTTATTAATAGAAAATATAAAACAAACTGTACATACTCTTCAGAACTTTTCTGGAACTGAGTGGAACTTGAAAATGAAAATAATTGTAACTAGATGTTTCAAAAGTTACAAATCTTTCAAAGTTCTTCTGTGTAGAAACCATCTTTATTTTTTTAATTTAAAATCAGTTTGTTAACGTATAGTGTATTAGTTTCAGAGGTAAAGTTTAGTGATTCATCAGTTGCATATAACACCCAGTACTCATTCCATCAAGTGCCCATCACCCAGTTACCCCATCCCCTACCCACCTCCCCTCCAGCAACCCTCAGTTTGTTTCCTAGAGTTAAGAGTCTCTTTCTCTATTTTGCTTAGCATAATACCCTCTGGTTTCATCCACATCGTTACAAATGGTAAGATTTCATTCTTTTAAACGGCTGAGTAATATTCTATCAAAGTTCTGTTTTTTAGTTGTATATTACACTATCTATTTAAAAACAAGTAGGGGCACCTGGGTGGCTCAGTCAGTTAAACATCGGACTCTTGATTTCAGCTCAGGTCATGACCTCAGGGTCCTGGGATTGAGCCCTGTGTCAGCTAGGAGTCTGCTTGAGGATTCTTTCCCTCCCTCTGCTCCTCCCCCCATGTACACAGGCAGCACACACAAGCTCTCTCTCTCTAATTAATTAAATAAAAGCAGGTATACCACATAAAACATGCTTTTATTTTTTTTTTAAGATTTTATTTATTTGAGAGAGAGAATGAGAGAGAGCACGAGAGGGAAGAGGGTCAGAGGGAGAAGCAGACTCCCCGCTGAGCGGGGAGCCCGATGTGGGACTCGATCCCAAGACTCCAGGATCATGACCCAAGCCGAAGGCAGTCACTCAACCAACTGAGCCACCCAGGCGCCCTAAAACATGCTTTTACAACTAGCCCCAAATAGCATATATTTATCAGTGCAGCAACATATCCAAATCAATATTTGCACTTAGTATTTAACATCTTTGTGCCTCAGTGTTCTCATTTGTAAAGGGGGATAATTACCTACCTCATAGTAGAGTGTTAAGAACAATTTTTAGCACATTGCAAGTACTCAGTAACTGTCATCATTGCTTTGATTTGTTTATCACCTTTAGGCATAACAAAGAATACTGGGGTCTCATTTGTGTTTCCTCATTCCATATAACTCATAGTTCTCCTTAAATAGATTATGCTGAAAAGTTAAAGAACTTCTGCCAGCTGGAAACTTTTGACAGATAGATGTTTGGTTCCTGGGTGATGGGCCATCACAGTGCCTAAAGCAGTTACACTACCCTCTTCTAGCTTTTGAAAATTCTATGATATATTCTGAGATGTTTGATGATTTCTCTTCTCTCATTTTCTTGCCTTGGATGTGACAGGTGCACAATAACTTTTCATTTCCAGGCTGCATTATAGGATAATCTTTTTGAAGGTATTTTAAGTGACAATTAGGGAATTTGTGTGAGTTAAAATTCGCCAGTGTTGCCAATGTCAGAATAACTGAACTGAAGTGACAATCAAATGAGTGGATGCCTTATATTCATAGCCTAGTTTCAGTATATGGGGACTATAAAAACTAAGGCACACCTTAGTCCTCTCTTGGTGCTTAGCAGATTTCTTTTGACCTAGATCATAAGATTATCCTAAATTTAGAACAGGTAATATAAAAGAAGTCTTAGAATCGAAGAAATATGGTATGTAACTGGGAAAAAGTGCAGTCTTCCAAGTGAATTGGATAATCTTTTGTTCTTTCTGATGCTAGGTATAACAATAGTAACAAAACTGTTGAGATACTGAAAGAACTGAAAGTTTGCTTTTATTGTGCAAGTATTGTGTTTTCATAGGGTGATAAAATGATCAATGTCAATTTCTCGATAGAACTACTTCCTGCTTTCTTCTTCGATGGATAAAACGGTCAGGTTATGGCACATTTCCAGAAGAGAATGCCTTTGCTGTTTTCAACATATAGATTTTGTCACTGCCATAGCTTTCCATCCAAGAGTAAGTAATTGTTTATATATATTTTTATTAGACCGTAAGGAAGGTGAAGGAACCTGGTTTCTCTGGAGGGCCGTAAGACTACAGGAAAAAAAATTATTAACAGCACATAGTTAAGAACAATTTAGTCTTTCGCTTTACTTATGTATGTATTTATGTATGTATTTATTTTAAAGTAGGCTCCATACCCAGCATGGAGCCCAGCGCGGGGCTTGAACTCATGACCCTGAGATCAAGACCTGAGCTGAGATCAAGAGTTGGACTCTTGGGACACCTGGGTGGCTCAGTCGTTAAGAGTCTGCCTTCAGCTCGGATCATGATCCTAGGGTCCTAGGATCAAGCCCCGCATCGGGCTCCCTGCTCAGCGGGGAGCCTGCTTCTCCCTCTCCCACTCCCCCTGCTTGTGTTCCCTCTCTCGCTGTGTCTCTCTCTCTGTCAAATAAATAAATAAAATCTTTTTAAAAAGAAAAAAAAAGAGTTGGACTCTTAACTGACTGAGCCACCCAGGCACCCCTCATTTTTTTTTTTAATATTTATTTATTTATTTTGAGAGAGAGAGATACATGAGCGCGAGTGGGGAGAGGGAGAGAGAGACTCTCCAGCAGACTCCCCGCTGAGCACAGAGCCGGACAGTGTGCAGCTCAATCTCACAACCCTGAGATTGTGACCTGAGCTGAAACCAAGAGTCAGATGCTCAACCAACTGAGCCACCCAGACGCCCCTTAAGCATCTGACTCTTGATCTCAGCTCGGGTCTTGATCTCCAGTTTGTGAGTTTAAGCCCCACATTGGGCTACAATCATGTAGCCTACTTAAAAAGAGAGAAAAGGAAATATTCTGCTAATCTGTATTAGAACTGGAAATGTTATAGTCTAACTCTAAGAATGAAAAGCCATCCCAAATCTTTAATAAGATGTGCAGGATATAAATAAAATAATGTATCATAGTAAAGATGAGAGGTTGGAGATGGAAGAAGAGGAGACAGCAGGTGGATAAATAAGATAGGGAAGCATATAGGCAAGAATAGGGGGCGGGTTGGGGTGGGAAGAGACAAAGATGGAAAGGTTGAAAGAGGCAAAGATCAAAATTCATTACAAGGTATACTGAGTTCCTATTTAATGTCTGGAAATAGAAATACTGTTTTGGGGGTTTTTTTGGTTTTGGGGGGTGTTGTGGGTTTTTTATTTGTTTTGTTTTGTTTTAGTGAGCTCTGTACCGAATGTGGGGCTTGAACTCACAACCCCTAGATCAAGAGTCACATACTCTACCGACTGAACCAGCCAGGCACCCCTGGAAATACTGTTAATCATGAGATCCATCTTAATTCATTTTCAAAGTAGAAAATCCCTCAATATCTTTCCTCTGAAAAGGAAGTGTTTCATATAATTTCAACCAAAGGAGGAAAATTCATCTTGGAATTGCTGACCTATCTTATGTTCTTGTAGGATAGAGCCACCAAATGAGTAAGGCTAAATTAATTTTTGCTCTTTTGCAACTATAAGCACAAGAGAAGTCCTATGCTGGTGCTGCTCCACTAGCTAGGTTGAAATAAGTGGAGGACTTGAGCTGACCTGACTTACCTAACTCCCCCATGTTGTTGTATAAATCCTATTTCTATTCATGTCCTCATCTCTCTAATTTTAACACCCACTGTCATGTTAATGCAACATTTTAGTTATATTCACATTTCTTCCTCTTTTTCCCCAGATTAAGAAAGAAGAATGACATTTTTTCCCCCCCTCAATATAATTTTCCTCTCTGGACAGGCTTATAATATAGACAGTAATTTTGAACCCTCAGAAGACTTTGGTTACAAACTTAGGCAAATTAAAAATGCTTAATCTATGCTGATACCTTATCAGTTTTGACCATCAAGCTTTTTGAGGCTTCTTTCTGAATAACACTCCCATCCTGTCAGCCAAGGATGCAGCAAAAGAATGGCTTTACTCCTGTCAGCAACTGTGAGCAAAATCCTTCCCTCACCTCTATTTTAACTATAATGTGTCAGGGTGGAAAGCAAGAGGTATTAGGTTGTGATAGTTATCTCTGTAGTACTTTATTACTAAGGTCCCTGTTTTGTCAGTAGTTTTTCTATACTTATATTTGGTTTTATTTTGGAGACTGAAAAGCCCTAATTCTAAAATTCTGTAGATCCGAAGGATTTTTAAGAGGGGTAGGAAAGGATGGTGTGGTGTTAACATTTTCTTAGGAAACATGACTCTATTAAATAATGTTATCTGGAAGGAAGGAAGCAGAATTACAAAAGAAATAGCAAAATGAAGATAATACATGCACACACATACACACGTATGCATGTATGTAAATAAAATTCTGAATTGTAAGACCAATATGAAGTTATTTTTACTTGTTCTGCTCTTCTGGTAATCATTAAGTAGAGCTTACTATACCATAGCCATAAGAACGTCCTTTCTGTGTAGGCTGTCCTTGACAGGCTTCAGAGGTGAGGAAGAATGATAGTCTTGAGCAGAGAAGGGAATACTTCTTGTTTTGGCACCCCAATTATTTTACTCTTAATCCTTTTTTTTTTTTTTTAAAGATTGTATTTATTTATTAGAGAGAGAGAGCATGAGAAGGGGGAGGGTCAAAGGGAGAAGCAAGCTCCCTGCTGCGGGAGATTCGGGATGCAGGAGATTTGGGGTGTGGGACATGCGGGACTTGGATGCATGCAGGACTCAGATGTGGGGCTCGATCCCGGGACTCGATCCCAGTACTCCAGGATCATGACCTGAGCCGAAGATAGTCGCTTAACCAGCTGAGCCACCCAGGCGTCCTTACTCTTAATTCTTATGTTATCAAAAATTAGACCAGCTTTGGTGATCATTTTTGCAACATATACAAATATTGAATCATTATGTTATACACCTGAAACTAACATTGTCTGTCAATGATATCTCAATTAAAAAAAATTAGACCAGCTTAGTGGTATGCCTGGTTTAGTGTATAGCAGGGTTTCTCACCCTTCGTACTGTTGACATTTTGAGCTGGATAATTCTTTGTTGTAAAGAGAATAAAGCCTGTCCTGTGCATTGCAGGATGTTTAACGGGGTTCCTGTCCTCTACCGATGCCAGTAACATCCCACCCCCAGTTGTGACAGTCAAAAATGTCTCCAGACTTTGCTAGATGTCCCCTGTGGGGCCAACTTGCCCCCTGTTGATAAAGCCCTGCCTTGGGATTGAGAATTTGAATATTGAAGCAATTTCCTACTGACATGATATCAAAATTCCCACAACATAACTGGTTCTGTGGGCTAATCGGCATTAGTCTTTTATCCAAGTATTATGTGGATCCCAGAGGAAGATACGGATAAACGTATCATTGCAGAATAGTTTTTCCCAAAGCATGTTCCTTGAAGGTGCTAGCCCTGCTAAGTGTTCTTACCGATTCCCTCCCAACCACAACACCCATCGCCCCCCCACCAAAAAGGTCCCTGATTATATAAGTTGGAAAATGCTACCTACTTTATTCCTCTTTTGGAGATTGAGAATGCATGTTAAGTGAGAATCCTCTTTAACTTTCTGTAACCCAGAATCTCTCAAACTTACTTGAACCATTCTCCTACACAACCATTCTCCAACACATTATCCATTAACATCCATACCTTGGGAAAAGCAGTGTAAGGATATGATAAAGTAATTAGAAAGTCATTTTTCCAAAGTGAATACTGAAGTTTCTAATTGTCATTTTTCATGAATAAAATAATGCTTGCTTGGGGGTGCCTGGCTGGCTCCATTGGTGGAGCATGTGACTCTTGATCTCCTTGCGGTTGTGAGTTCAGGCCCCACGTTGGGTATAGAGATTACTTAAAAATAAAATCTTGAAGAAGAATATTTCATAAATGGGATTTACATATTTTAAACATTATTTCTAATGGGCTTTATGTTTTGATTTGCTAATGAACTTTTCTTGATCTGGTAAAATGAGAGCTTTCTCTTTTGCAACATTTTTAGGATGACAGGTATTTTCTAAGTGGGTCATTGGATGGAAAGCTCCGTCTTTGGAACATACCTGACAAAAAAGTCGCTTTGTGGAATGAAGTAGATGGTCAAACAAAATTGATCACAGCTGCAAATTTCTGTCAGAATGGCAAATACGCCGTGATTGGGACATATGATGGCAGATGTATTTTCTATGATACAGAGGTAAATGATATCTTGTGTAAATTACATAATGGAATACTCAGCAGTTTCATATAAGTTGGTGTATCCTCTCTGGGCATTACAAATTGGGGCAAATAATACTATGCCTCTCTGCAAGTTGGATCAGATGATCTTTGAGGTTCCTTCTAATTCTCATATTTTAAATTTATGATTTCTTTTTAGCATTTGAAATACCACACACAAATACATGTCCGATCTACCAGAGGACGCAACAAAGTTGGAAGAAAAATTACTGGCATTGAACCTTTACCCGGAGAAAATAAGGTACTAAGTATTCAAAACCATCTCTCTTCACGCTATATATAGACTCCTGAAAATTCTTACTGTCTTGGCTTAAGAATATATTTTCTCTCATGTGGAATGCAGCCTTTTCTAGTTTTGAGGTATATTCTCTCTGTGTATGTAATACCCTTTCTGATTATACCTTAACTTAGATAAAAAGATGGTACTTTTAACTTTTCTTTTGATTTCTTTTTAGATACTGGTAACCTCAAATGACTCCAGAATCAGACTGTATGATCTTAGAGATTTGTCACTGTCCATGAAGTATAAGGGTTATGTCAACAGTAGCAGCCAGATCAAAGCAAGTTTCAGGTAAATTGGCAATGAGAAATTCCCAAAAGAGATCAGAATATTTCTCCTCTACTCCCATATTTTCTTTGATCTATGCCTTATGTTTATAGGGTGTTTTTCGTTTCTTTGCACTTTTACAACTGATTGCTCATGTTATCATCATGCAGTACTTACCTTATCCACCTGTTTAGTAGACAGAGTTGGAATTGCCCCTATTCTGCAGACAAAGAAACCAAGACTCAGAAAATGAAGTACAATCACTGGTAGTTGCAGAGTTGGGATTAGAAGACTCACTCCCGGCTCTCCGGCATTCGTGCTTTTGTACTTCTGTGTCAGCTTTCTAAGAGGAAACTTACCTGCCACCCACCCGTGGTCTTTATCCTTTTAGGTACTGAAGCTCATAAAGCATTTTAACACCCTAAAGTATGGTATCCTGTAGTCACCCCTTTACATAACGTTATTATTTGAACTCTTAATTTGGGGTCTGCAGGCTCTCCTGAAATAGCTGCCTCCTCTTCCTTAGAGCCCTCTTTCATTCGGCCCTGTTCTTAACGGTCCTCCTTTCTGCTTGCATTACCCAGTAATTCCTGAGAAATGTAATTGGTAAAGTGTTCTGCTTCTCTCTTTCATCTCTTAAGTAGGCGTTTCTCCCTGTGTGGGTTAACTAGCAGCACAGTTGTCTCGAGCTTTAATGAACATCCTTGTGCCTCTGGGCTCCATGGCAGACCTGCATGTCCAGAACCTCTGGAGTGAGACTAGGAGTCTGTATGTCAACAAGCTCTCTTGGGTGTTTCCTTATGTATTTTTTTTTTTTAAAGATTTTATTTATTTATTTGAGAGAGAATGAGAGATAGAGAGCACGAGAGGGAGGAGGGTCAGAGGGAGAAGCAGACTCCCTGCTGAGCAGGGAGCCCGATGTGGGACTCGATCCCGGGACTCCAGGATCATGACCTGAGCCGAAGGCAGTCGCTTAACCAACTGAGCCACCCAGGCGCCCCTCCTTATGTATTTTAAAGCAGGAAGTGCTGATAGAGGGAAACCTAAAAAAAAAAAAAAAATCCCAAAACTGATTTTTTTTTCTTTCTTTCCCAAATTTAGCCATGATTTTAGTTACCTCGTTAGTGGCTCAGAAGATAAGTATGTTTATATCTGGAGTACTTATCATGACCTCAGCAAGTTTACTTCAGTCAGGAGAGATCGTAATGATTTTTGGGAAGGTATTAAAGGTAAGTAAATGCCCACTTATGTGTGTCTTCTAAGTGAATAAAGTTAATGTGGAGATGTATTACAAGTAAATTTGTATAGGCATTATTTCAGACAGACAGTTTGGCGGTTATAACCGCTCTTGCTTTGTATTTGGCTTTGATTTTTCTGTACCAAGGAAGAACTTGTACAGGCATACCTCATTTTAATTAAGGTGTGTACATTGTTTTTGTAGAACTAATTCTATTGCACACTAATTGACTACAGCATAGCATAGACATAATTTTTATACATGCACTGGAAACAAAAATTCATTTGACTTGCTTTATTGCAATATCCGCTTTTTTACAATGATCTGGAACAAAACCTGCAATATCTCTGAGGTATGCCTGTATGTAGTATTTTTTTTTTAGCATAAATTTTTGGATTTTAAATAGTTCTTAAGTACTTATGTGTTAATTTTAAAGGATATTAGCTTATAACATACATATTGTATTTATTGCATATGATACTTTCTGTCTTGATGTTTAGAATCAAATTTATTAGTTATCCTGAAGTAAATTTTTTTTCCCCAGCACATAATGCAGTTGTTACATCAGCCATCTTTGCTCCAAACCCAAGTTTGATGTTATCTTTGGATGTACAATCTGAAAAATCAGAAGGGAATGAAAAAGGTGAAGATGCTGAAGTTTTGGATACCATGCCCTCTGGTAGGTACTCATATTTTATTTGACCTACATTTTTTTCTAGTCAGCACTTAGTAGCCTCATTGACCTACATTGGGTATTGTGAGGTTTTCATGTGTATGAAGAATATTTCTTGTTTACAACGTAATTGTTTTGAGTATCCCTTTCTAAACATTTCAGTAACCTATTTCTTGCAAGTTTTACTTCATTTAAATCTACCTTCGAATTAAAAATGAAAAATTTGAAAGTTCTTTTTTTTTTTAAGGTTTTATTTATTTGAGAGAGAGCACATGTGGGGGTGGGGGAGGCAGAGGTTGAAACAGACTCCCGCTGAGCAGGGAGCCTGATGAGTGCTCCATCCCAGGACCCTGGGATCATGACCTGAGCCGAACACAGACACTTAACCAACTGAGCCACCCAGGTGCCCCCATTATTTTTTTTTTTTTAAGATTTTATTAGAGATCATGAGCAGGGGGTGAAGGGTAGAGGGAGAAGCAGACTCCCGCTGAGCAGGGAGCCCAACGCGGGACTTGATCCAATCATGACCTGAGCTGAAGGCAGACGCTTAAATCGACTGAGCCATGCAGACGCCCCAGAAGTTCATTTTTTTTTTATGGGCAGTTGTTCCCCTTGGAGAAATGCAAACAAGACATAACAAATACAAAATTTCTTTATTATCTGTCTTCTCATAGACTGTCAGTCTGAGGACAGAGACTTATGTCCTATATATTGTTGTAATGCCAGTGCTTGCCCGCATATAGTTGGTCCTAATAAGCATGTGTTGAACAAATGAATTAAACCAAATGGAAGTAGTGTCCTTTTCTTCTTGCCACAAACTCCCCAAGCCAGGGAAAGACCGGCTAAGACACGGTAAGTGGAAGTAAGCCTCAGAGAGGAGGAGAGTACCGGAGAATGAAAGGATTACGTAGGAGCAAGCTGAAAAAAAGAGACTGAGGGGCACCTGGCTGGCTCGGTCAAGGGAGTGTGCGACTCTTGATCTTGGGGTTGTGAGTTTGAGCCCCACTTTGGGTGTAGAGATTACTTAAAAAAAAACAAAAAATCTTGGGGGGGAACTGAAAACTGGGGAAAAGGTGTAGGATCATTGGCATGTGACACAACAGCAGGCTTTATATTCAACTAAAAGCTTTTTTTTATGCGTTTAAGGTATCATGAAGACAGATAATACAGAAGTTCTTCTTTCTGCTGACTTCACTGGAGCAATCAAAGTGTTTATTAACAAAAGGAAAAATGTATCTTAATTTGAAATGACATTTAAAATAAAAATATCAGTAAGTTTCTATATGTATTAGAACTGAAAAAAGTATAGTGTTTCAGGCTAACATCTTTTTTTTTTTTTTAATTTTTACTGGAAGTTGTTCAAATATAATATATTTTTTGAGTGGCAGTGTTAATGATCTATAAACCCTGGACTGATAGACAGAAATGTGGCTAGAATAACATTGCCAAACATTAGGCTTTATGTTTTGTTATATTTGTGTTTTTGTTATATAATTGTGAACATGCACAGGTTTATGCATGAAAATATATTAATATATTAATCACATGTGTGTGCCTTTTGGTTACATGCACTAAATCTAACAGAGTTAAATTATTTCAGTGGCCCTTTTGGCCTCTTACAGGGAGGGGTGAGTCTTGTTTCTAGCTTAAACGATTTCTTTTGCACAAAACTTCATTTTTCAGAAAAGTGGTATTGACTGAGTTACTGTTTTGAAAATGTTATACAGGTTTTCAATAGGTCAACAACCATGTGTAAATGGTTTTTATAAATTTCTCAATTTGGGGACAAGATTTTTTTTTGGTCTAAATTGTGGATTTAAGATTCTTTTCTTTGTATGTATATATATAATCTTTCTTTCTTTTCTTTCTCCCTTTTTTTCTTTCTTTTTTTTTTTTTTTTTTGCCACACTGGAGCACAATGTTTCTATGTAAAGAATTCTTTTCATTCTCTATCCATGAGCACCAGGCTTTGCTCACTTAAAAAAATTAAGCCACATTAAGGAGTGAGTCTTCTTTTTTTACTAAAAATGAACTGTTTACATTTTTTTAAAGCATTGTAGTTTTAAAAATTAAGCTGTTTTGTTTTGTGTTGTTGAATTTGAAAGCCTTTGTAAATATTGATATAATGTACCAATGAAATAACATCGGGGGCAATGGAACCCTGATCATGTTGTTGATGGTTAGCATATGTTTCTGAAAATTGAATATGTATTATTAAAAGTTGGTCGCCAAACAGTTGTTAAATATGTGACTTTATTTTCACATGACTTTGGTAAACTGAGGAATGTAAGAAAAACAAAGTCTTGTTTTATACTTTGATTTTTAGCAAGCAGAAGACCAGATTTTGGACCCCTAAGTTATAATGCATTAGCCACATGCCTTTAAGAAAAAATTTTTTTCTAATTCTAAAATGAACACTGCTAAGAGTTCATCTGTGTGCTTATGTGTTCTTTACTGCATTTGTTTTCGGTATCTGAGTGAGAAGCTGGGAAGCCATGATCGTATCCTTATTAATCAGCATGGTCTTGGAGTGTTCTGGATATTCTAGTTCATTACGTATTGTTTGCCTTGGTTTCACCCCTATGCTGCTTTCCTCCTCTTGCCAGTGCTGTGCTCTCCCCACTCTCTGCTTGCTCTTCTGTACCCTACCTGACACATGGAGTTGTTAAGCCATTGGCTCTGTAACCAGTCCGTTTCTTTAGTCTCAAGATCTGGCTGGCAAATGGATTGATCTAGTGTTTCAGAGAATTTGATGTCTTCAACTTTTTGAGGCAGCTTGGCTTTCAATGACTTCTGCCTGAAGACTTAGAGTCTGCTGTGGTGCTAATCATTTCAGTGGCGGATAATTGGGGCATTGCCATATGAATATTTCCTGACAGGTTTTATGTGGTTTCCAGAACCAAAAGGCAAAAAATAGTTGGGATGCAAGTTTGAAAGAATAATACTAACATTTCTAAGTTTAGTTTTTAAAATGTTTGCTGTCACGCAGATTTACAAGTCAGAAGGTGAATTTCAAAACATAGAATCAAGGTGTATACTAAGAAAAACTGATTAATATTTCTCCCTAAAATGAGTATTAGAAACTCACTATAATAAGTGATGTGGAAGAAAGAGCGCAGATTGTAGAATCAGATGAACTTAGATTTGGCCCCTCTATTTATCCTGTTATTTATCCTGTATTAATTTCCATTTCCTTATGTATAATATGAGAACACCTAACTGAAATTATAAAGATTTACTGAGAAATCATGTATGTATAAAGCTTGGTGCCTAGCAGGTAAGTGTTCTCAACAAATGTACATTTCTCACTGCCTTTCCCAAATCCCTGGGTGCCCACTAGACCCTCTTCCCCCATAAAAAAGTATATAGAAGTGCCTTCTAGACATCTGAGATTTCATTGATGAATAGCCTTTTAGGGATTGACATAAGGCACCAACTTTTTTTTTTTTTTTGCCAACTTGACACTTCAAACCATCTACCATCACCTCTTCAGAAAAGAGAACACTTTAATAGTTAAAAAAAAAAGTTAAGTACAATCTTAACCATCTTAGAGCAGTGAACAATCTATTAAAGTGAATAAACCTAGCTTTTGAAGAAAAAGAAAGTAACCATATTCTCTTATTTTCCAATTTTTCCTTCTGTGTATTAAAAGCTCTTTGAAAAGTCATTTTGAGCTTTTTTTTCTCATTTACCTTAATTGGAATTACAATATTAATGACTCAACATAATTTAGCATGCCACTTTCTCTGATCTTCAAATGGTACAGCTGGGCAGTGACTTTTTATTCTTTGAAATATATGTTTAACAATATATTATCCCTCAGATCCCGATTTCAATTGTGTAATTTTGAGAATCAGAGGCCAGATAGCCCCACTCGTGGAAAAAAATCATCAGAATATTTTTTTAAGCATTTCAGTTATTTTTAATTAAAGAAAAACAGCTTTTTCCAAGGGTTAGAATATTTTTAAACAACTTCAATTACTATGGGGATTCAAGGTAAAGACCTATTTGGGATTTAATGTTTCCCCATAACTTCTCAAAAGAAAAGCCTTTCCAGTTTTACTGGTATCTAGCTCTCTGACTGACTTATTCATTAAGCAGATGTTCATTGAACACCTACTATATACAGAGCACTGCTGGGACTAGAGAAGAATAAGGCAACATTCCTGTGCCAGAAGAGCTCACAGTCTGGTGGAGAAAGATGCACACAGAAACAAGTAAGAGGCTTGGAACTGTCTTGTGGCTGTGGCCCTAGAAATGCCCCTTCTAACCCTAACCCGTCTCCTCCACCCTTCCTAGTAACTCGTGGCAGCCACTCGATCTCAGGCCAATCTTCGTTCATCTGATATTACAGAAGCAAGCATGATATGGGCAACAGAGTTTATAAGTAAGCCAGAGGTAAGGCAGAGAAAATGGATTACCTTCCATGGCGACATTTTCCCTCGTCTCTGGTCCTCTCCTCCCAGCCTGAAATCTTTGTCTTATTTCCCCCAAAAAATCTTAACTGTCTTTTGCTTTGAGCTGACTCCAGCTTAATAGACCCCTCCCCTCAACTGCTCTCTTCCCTTCAGTTCTGAAGCTTTGCCTGTTTTGTTCTGTTTTGTTCTCTAGATTTGAGTCATCTGTGCTCCTGGGGAACCCAGGCTCCCTTTGTTAACCACAGGCACTTTTCTGGCATAGATTTATGCACATGAAATACATTCAGGTTGATGCAGCAGGGTCGAGGGAGGTGGGAGTGTAAACATGAAGGGAAAGATCTATCGCAGAGTCCCAAATGCCATCATGTAAGTTACCTAGGGTGGTCCCAGCAGATAGTTTGCTCATACATCCGGCTACCCTGCATTACTTTCTTTTAAATAAAATTTTTATTTTGGAATAACTTTAGATTTACAAAAAAGTTGCAAGATAATACAGAATTCCCATATACTCCTTTCTCAGTTTCCCCTAATGTTAACGTCTTAGATTACCATGGTGCATTAGTCAAAACTAAGAAACCAACCCTGGTACATTATTATTAAGTAAAGTCCAGACTATTCAAACTGCATCAGTTTTTCCACTAGTGTCCTTTTTCAGTTCTAAGATCCAATACAGAATACCAAATTGCATTTAGTCATATTATGCTTTTTTAATTTAAATAAACATTTTATTTTAGAACATTAAGGGGCGCCTGGGTGGCTCAGTCGGTTAAGCGCCTGACTTGATTTTGGCTCAGGTCATGATCTTGGGGTTGTGGGATCGAGCCCTGTGTCGGGCTCTGCTGTGCTCGGAGTGGAGTCTGCTAGAGCTTTTCTCTCTGCCCCTTCTCCCCACCCTCAAATAAATAAATCTTTTTAAAAGAAAAAGAATAGTTTAAGATTTTCAGGAAACTTTGCAAAGAGGTCATCTCCTGTACCACTTTCTCTGTTGTTAACGTCTTACATTACTGTGGTACATTTTTCACATTAAAAAACCAACATTGGTACATTACTACTAACTAAACTGTATGCTTTATTCAGATTTCACTGGTTTTTAACCTAATGTCCTTTTTCTGTTCTGGGATCTCATCCAGGATATGATATTACATGTGGTTGTCAGGTCTCCTTAGGCTCCTCTTAGTCATTACGGTTTTTCAGATTTTTCATGCTTTTGATAACCACAACAGTTTTTGTTGAATGTCCCTGGGTTTGAGTTTGTGTTTTTCCTCATGATTTGACTGGGTTTATGGACTTTGGGAGAAAGACCACAGAGGTAAATTGCTCTTTTCATTACATCACATTAAGGATATATACTATCAACATGACTTATCACCTAGCTGAGGTAGTGTTTGTCAGGTTTCTCCACTATAGAGTTACTTTTTTTCTTTCTTTCTATAAGTCTGCTCTTTGGAAATGAATCACTAAGCACAGCCCAAACTCAAAGGGTGGAGAGGAGTTAAGGCCACCTCCTCAAGGGCAAGTAGCTATGCAACTTACTTGGCATTGTTATGTGCGGGAGATAGGTGTCTTCTCCCTCATTTATTTATTAACTCAACCCTTTATTTATGTTACCATGGGCTTGTATTTATTTTATGCTTTGAGTTTTAAACCAATACTCTATTATTTTGTTGTTCAATTTGTTCCAGCCCTTAACGATTAAGAATTCTTTCAAGGTGCCTTCTGTGTCCAGTTGACATCCCTTTTTTTGAGCATTACTTTCTATCACTCCAAGATGCTCCAGGCTCATCTTATATATTTTCTGCCCCAGCCATTTAATCAAGGAACCCTGGTTCCTTTTATTGGAGAAGGGTATTAGAAACCATGATCTGGGTGGTAGATGTGCTCGTTGCTACCAGGTGTCATTTCTCAGGCTTTCTCAGCTGGCAGAGCAAAGAAATAAATGTATATATGCTAATATCTGTATAAACAAATTATAAATATTTCTCTGTAACTATCGATATTAAATATGAGTTCTCGATGTCTCTGACTAATCCAATGGACTAATGCATTAATACATAGGTCATTCTAGTTTCCTCTTCTTGCTTATCAGTAACCTCCTTCTCCAACAGTGAGAAACCTGGCTCCCACCATTTACTATCCATTTACTTATCCAATCCCAGCATAACACGTTCAGCAGTTTCAGAATTGGTAACCCAACCCCCCATGAGAAACAACTTTACCAACAGGAGTACAGTTTTTACATATAGTCCTTTATCTTTGGTGTCATAGTTTCTGGTCACAACACTGTTTTCTGAAGTTACTTAGATGAGCACCTTTCCCCCCACCCACACGATCATTAGATTAAGTTATCTGTCCCTTTATAAAATCATCTGGGATTTGATGACGTACATAGCCATCCTTATTTAATATGTAAGCTGTGACATTTTTCTGTAGAGCACTTCCTGCCTTGCTTTCAGATGCTTAGCATTTTCCTAAAGCAGTTTTACAGTTCTGTTACTGCACTGAGGTTTCACACATTCAGCAAACATCGAGTGCTTAGTCTGTGTCAAGATCTTGAGGAAGTCTAATAGGAGAAACAAACAAGAATGTAATTCTGTTAAGACTGTGTTTACATGATTAAAGCGGTCATATCTGGTTTTCTTACCTCAATGCCAAACTATTTATGGGGGGAGAGGGGAATGTATATGTGTATATTCGTGTATATAAGTAATTTATATGTAAAGAAAAGAATTTATAAAGAATATATAAGTCTGTATATATGTATAAAGAATGTCAGGTTACTAGAAACCCACTTCTCTAACTCACCATGCAAGCGGGT